TCAGTCCGGCTCCCTCCTGCCCGGCCCGGTGGTGCTGGGCCACCTGCACAGGCGCCCCAGCCCCGGAGCTTCACCCTCGTCACGGCATGTCGTGACTTACTGCCGGGCTCTGAAGCAGTGAAGTTATGCGATTCGTTTCTCCCTTCGCGATATCGTTTGCTTGCGTAAGGGTGCGCTCAGTTCTCACTGCTGTAACTTTTTAATGGGTTTTGTGGGGCATCTCGTTCCTTTGAGTTCCCTATGCTGCGTGTTTTGTAACTGGCGGTTAGAGAAACGCAAAGAAACTTATGTCACGTTTACGTACGTTGCATTGCTTTCTGAAAAGCATGAGACTGGGTAAAAGAAAAGGAGAACAATAGACTTTTCAAACTTTCTTCTTGTAGGTTTGTGTGTATGCATGTAGGTTGTTCCTTGTTTTTTTACTAATGCTTTAAATGCTCATAGCTTGCAGTTCTTCAGGCACCTTACAGAAGGTCATCCACGCTCAACCAAATGTAACTAGTCTTGTTCCCTTAAGAATTATTGAAACGTGGGATTCATTTAGCTTCTAAAAGAAGTTCACTTCTAGAGGGAAGGTAAACAGAGAACTAAATTGCCTTTGGGCTTCTTTGTTACAGCTGTCCTTATATTTGGAGAACAGCGTTTTCTAGTTGGTAGTGAACATAATGCTAGAAGGATCTTATCAGCCTTTTAAGATGGTGTGTTAAAACTCCCTGATCGTGATGGCAGGTGGGTGCTGTGCTGAAATTTTTTTTTTTTTTAACATAAGTGTGCTTCAGTGTGTTTACCTATGGAGCCTGCCTGATATCAGCCTCTGTAGTCAGTGATGAGATGGTCACAGCGTGCCATGTAAAATTAAATGGAAAGTCCATTGGTAAACAACAGCAAACCTCCTGGCACAGGCGTTTTGCAGCACATGACATCTTTAGCTCTGAAACATAATATGCTGCTGCTTGTGTGAAGGTTGCTTTCCCACCCCTCCCACCTAGTCAGGGTTGAAAATTTTCTACTAAATTTCTTGGATATTTTAAATGCTCAAATAACTTTTAATAGTAATTCAGTACCTATGACTTTACAACTTTTGAACCTGATACGTATGCATCTGAGTTTGAGAAGTCTATGTTGTAACTTGTTTGAAGTATTTTTGATGAAATTAAAATTTTACACAAACGCATCTTTTTCTTAGGTGTAAATGTTTGCTAGGTGGATGTAGGAATATGTAGATATAGGTAGGGGTGATAAATCTATAACTGCAGGGATTTAACCCTAGTTTTGAGATCACAACATTCTGCAAGGATTTGAATGTTTGTTCTTATAAGCTGTGGAGAAAAAGGGAGGGTTGTTACTTACGGAGGCGGTATCACCAGAGTGAAAGAGTTAGAGTCCTGCTAAACTCTGATATACCCTAGACATAATAGGATTAGGGAGCTGCTCTGGGACTGGGTTGATTAAGAAGCAGTGTCTGCCAGAAAAGAGAGTGGGGAAGCTCAAGAACAACCTTTTTCACCATGGTTGGAAACGGGTGTGCTCGAAGGATGTTTAGTGCTGAAATAATCGTTTGTTTTTCTGCTAGCTGTGATTGGGTTTGTTGTTAGGTAGATCTGTGTCCAGAACCACACAGTTGCTGGTGATGGTAGCTTTGAGTCTTCAGACTAAGTGCTTGCCCACTTGTCATTAGGGACGAGCATTCGAAAACAGCACTCCTAGCAGGAAAACATGATTTCAGAAATCTTTAGGGTTCTTTTATTTTGTTTTGTATTCTTTCTCTAGTAACTTACATAGGGATCAAAAGTTAAGAAAGGGAAAAAATTAGCAAAGGAGTTGGAAGTATAAATTAACAGCTTAATTTCAGGATGGTCATTGCAAAGGATAACTAG